AACCGCAAAGTATCCTTGCAATGCCCAACCGCAGAGTATCCCCGCAAAATTGCACAAATGTATCCCAGCACTGCTTGACTGCAGAGTATCCCTGCAGTGCCAAACCCCCAAGAATCCCTGCAACCCCACAACATACCTGCAACCTTTGCAAGAGGCCTTTGCAGCACTTTTTAAATATACCCTATGTAGGCCTTCTACCCCCTTTGAAAGACACCATATCCGTATAGCCCCTTGCAACTTATTCCTGTAAGGCTGTGTAAGCTCTTTAAAGAGACCCGATGTAGGCCTTCCACTGGTGGACCCTATGTAGCCCTTCCAACTCCGTTTAGAAGGGCCTGCGTACAGCCCTTATGACTCTTTTAAAGCGGGCCCTGAGACGGACCTTATGAAGGCCTCACAGCCTTTGAAAGACAGCCTATATAGCCTTTATAACCCCTTGTAGCGGACCCTATGTAGGCTTATAACCTTTGTGAGAGACCCTGTGCAGGTTCCATACAAAAACTTGAATTTTTATGTCCCGGGCCCGGGAGATTTGCCGAGCGAGATTTAACCAGAATCGGTCAACAATCCCAAGTGCTGGACAATCACACTTCGGGGTGAAGATGCTCGAAGTAAATAATTTCCATCGAGATTGTCTTGCTTTTTGACATCCCATTTGCTTTTGTTGATAGCTCACTCGCCCATGCAGGAATACGGCATCTCTCCCGAGACCGCTGCCTGACCCTGAGCCTCCAGTACACCTAGAAGAATTGGAAACTTTGCTGGCTTCGATGCGACCCAAGATCAGCTCCTTGATCCCAGAATGGCCTGCGGATTTGCCAGGGGACTTTTCAGGCTGGGGAGCCGGACAACACGAAAGTTGTCATGTCATTTCATAACATTCAGTAACTACCAAGCAAGATGCCATCCACATGGTAGGTTCTGCAGCAAAGGAACCGCTTCGCTTGAGGCCGATGCAGTCCGGAGATTGTAAGGGGACGCCGAAAGTGCAAGTAAGGCACTGCCTGACGCACACGGCTGGCTTCTCGAACGCGCTGCCAACAGTCCACCCTCTTTGCGCGTGCAGCACTCACCAATCGCAAAGTTTCCTGGGACAGAACATATCGGCAGACAGAGACAGAGACAGTAAGGTTGCGCCCTGCGGAGCTAAACAGGCTTCGAAGACGAAGGAGCGGGAGCCTCTTCAGTTACCTCACCTCAAGTTTAATGCTGGCACGACAGTACGACTCTCAGTAGAAGACACGGACATGCCGACGGGTGGATAATGCCTGATTCGCAATGCAAAAAATACACTGAAGGCGTGCTCCGTCACGTTTCTCTTGTGGTTCTTCAGCGTTTTCTGACAGCGCCTGATGGGTCTGGAGTTAACAAGATGGCATGGGATAGGCTGAGTGCAGCAGACCTTCGAATGGGTTCTGCACCTCCTATCAAAGGGACGATGATACTCTGCAGAGAATGCCTCAAATCCATCTACCAGGGTGGCCGACAGCTTTGCTGCACAGTGTTGTGTTGCTGGCAGAGGTGCTATGGGGCAATCGCCTCGAGACTTAAAAGCTTTGGCAGGGCCCTGAGCGCTGGCCTTGCTTGAGCCGTGCCTGCTTTGCAAGCTGAATCAGGTGAAGCTTGAGAGCCGCTTGCCAAGTTCAATGGCATGTTTTGCTCCCTCATTCCAAGGTGAAGATTTGTGCTTGTTTTGCGCGGCCGTTCTTGTAGATGGTCGCTGGTGCCCGGGATTTCAAAAGTTTGAGTGAAACTTCAAGGGGCACATCGAGCTTCTCTTGACCGGGTACATACTGCAAAGGTTATGAGCGACAAGAGCGCCCATTCAAACTGCCCTTGTGCAAAACTTGGGCCCAGGCATTGCATGGCATTGCATCAGCAGCCAAGTAGCAGCAAGTAGAAGCATCAACGCCTTTGTCAGCGTGGGCCTCGCATGGGCCAAGGGCCCTGTCTGAACAACTCAAACCCTGGGCCAGTCCTAGGCCCTAGGCCTAATGGCATGGGCCGGCCCTACCGTCTTCATAGTGGTAGGGGCCAGAGCAAGAGTGAGAGTGACGGCAACAGAGGTAGGGCAGTGGACAAAGTAGGAAAAGTATGGAGAAGTAGTGGTCGCGGGCTCACTGTCCAGTATGTAGCCTTCAACCGCTCTGGGTACTGCCTCTTCTCAGTTTTTGGAAGTGCGTTGCTTGTGATGAGCGGCACGTTTGTTGGGCCTGGATGCGGTACATCCAGGCGGGAGGGAAAACCGCCCCTCCCCTAGAGCGCCAATCTGCCGTCAACACTGCTCGACGGACCTAACATGCAGGCTCTGTGCTGCACCCAGATTTTCCTCGTTTGAACGTTAGCACCAGGCCCAGAGAGTTTCGCATTTGCAGTTTAAAGCATTAGCTCAATTGGCTGATCTTCCCGGACGTGGATTGAAGCAGGAAGGACAACTTTCAGTTGCGGAACTAGGCCTCTGGGTACCAACTCTTGGAGCAGATATCTGGTAGCGGAGATTGGGAACTGTCTCTCCGAACGCCATATGCGATGTTTGTTGGGGGTTTGGCTGTATGATGGTTCTATGCAGGCTTTGTGCATGCTTTACGTGCCTTTGATGAGGGTTTTAGGGCCTGCAAAAAAAGGGCCTGAGCCTAGGGCTTGGTATATGGTGATTCTCTGATGGCTCTCCGGGCACAATGGGCTTTATGACTGTGTTCCTGATGGTTTCAGGGTTTAGGCCAGTCCGAAGGTGGTCTGAGAAGGGTCTATCGGGTGTAAGGGTGCTTGAAGTGGTTGAAAGAGCGGCATCATCATCATCATCATCATCGTTGGTGCAGACAGGAGAGAATCCATGCCAGCAGCGAAATGGCAGCCCAATGCTTCCGTCTGGGACGCGCTCGCGGGCTCCAGCAAAATTGGGCTTGCTCGCGCGAGCTCAAGTACGGTCCTGGCGGCTGGAAGTCTCGCAAATAAACAGTTCCCACTTCTGCCCTTGCACCAGCTGCAGGGCCCATGCCACTAGGCCTATTTTAAACTTAAAATCATCTAAAATCTGGTCCTGCCGTCGTTGCCTCCAGAACATTCCACCCTAGCTTTAGCCAGAGGCGGTTAATGCCGGTCGCCCATCCAGCATCATCAGACCTCCCTCACTGTGGGGCCATGCCGCAGAACTCCTGGCAGAAAGAGATCCGATGGCACGTCCAGGTCCAGGCTCAAGGTCTGCCCGGCCTGTTGCGTGAAGGTGCAGTGTCATCTCTAGGCGCGATGCATGGACATGCCATGACCTGCAGGCGCACTGGTCGCGAGTGACTCATGCATGCGGGGTAAGCTGTGGCTGGCAGGTGGACCGCCTGACGTTTCTTTTCGAGCTTTCTTGCGGGTGGGGCTTGTTCGTTTGTGCAGGGGGGCTGGGCTGGCTGGGAGTATTGAAGGGGCTCTCCTTAGGTCCTTGATTGGGGAGGAAGGCTATGCCATGGGTGAAAGAGGGCTTTACTGTCTGCATGCCTAGCAAGCTGGGGAAAGCGGATTTGCAAGCATGGAAAGTTATTCTGAACCCAGCCACAGAGGCTCTGCAAGTTGGGTCGATTCGAATGCAGTTTCTCTGGATCAGCTTTGGGCAATCTGACAGCTTGTTCTGCATGGTTTTGCTGTTTTTCCAGGCTATGCAGGGATTGTAGGAATCTGCTGGGTACCTTGGTTCCCTTCCCTTGCGCAAGAACACCTTGAAGCCTTGCATCCAGCAGAGGTTGCCAGCCACATATCTTCGCACCAGGGGAGCACTTCAACTACTGCAGCATGCTCAAGACTAACATGACGTGCAGTTTTGTGTCCTAGAGTTTCGGACGAGTTCTTGATGTTGAGGTGGCGTGGGCAGCCAGTTGGTTGCACGAGCAGTGGAGGAAGTCTCTGGACTGAACATTGCAGCGTGCTCTCTGGGGAAGCGATGTCTTGAGTTTATTTGAGTTTTAATTGCGTGGCCATGCCTGGCATGCCTGGTCAGGTACATGCAGAAGCACATCATGGAACCGTGTGGAATGACTAGCACGGGGTTTCTCATTGATGAGTCCTTGGCGACAGACTGTGTGTCTGCAGGCAGTTCACAAGTGCTGACTTCCCTGCGTTTCTGCTGCGCTTGCAGACTATCACCCGTGGGTCCTTCCAGCTGTTGCAGACGGCCTAGCCGGATCGCGCTTGGAGCGCTGGAGGCGACTCTTGACCAGCAGAGAGTCCTCTGCGGCTGCAGACTTCCGAGTCCTATCTCTGAAGTGACCTCTGGCAGGCTCCGTTTACGCTCCGTCCTTTCTCGTTTGCTGGGAACTTGGAAATTCCAGGGATTTTTTACTTTCGACTTCCTTTCGTGCTCGAGCAGGTGTGGACAGTCGATCATAGATGATCTGAAGCCAGCTGGGAGTGGAGTCATATCCCCAATGAAATTGTGGGACAGGCCCGTGCGAACAAAATGTTCTGGCGAACAAGAAGCACTGTCTGCAGGTCATTGGAAATGTATCGACCCGACGCTGGACTTGTGGGTCGGCGTCTTCGTGTGGTGCTTCCAAACGTTAGATGAGTTAGATGTTTTGTGCACGCGAGAACGCGCGCGCTGCAACATTAAGGGACCGGGGCAGATTTCGCCGTGAGCCTAGTATCCGTTCCAAATTTCATGATGCGCCTCAGGCCTTTGGCACAGTGTTTGGCTTGTGACAAGTACATGGCAACTTGAGGTGCGATTTTTGCAGGCGCTTACCGTGCCAGCCAGCTCCTGAATCACCCAGTACCTTCACAGGATGCCCAGCTGTGAGGGGAGTTCCCTAAGGATTCGGGCAAGGCTTCGCTCAGTCCGTGGAGACCTTACTTCCGCTCTGGAGTGCCAACAGCTTTCCAGAACTTTCCAGACACCTGTGCCATGCGTGAAGCTCCTGAGCGTCATAGCAGGCTTTTCAGCTTTACAGTCCAGGCAGTGTTCGGTCTTACTTGGTGCGTTCAGGTTTGTGTTGAAGGCCCTGGCATCACCCGTGACTGCGGAGCTCCAGGTCTGAGGTGTTGGCTGGCCGCTTGTCTGCTGTGCCGTTTTCCGCAGGCGCCGTTTGCGCTGGATGCTGCCAACACACGGGGAAGGTAGCGGGTGCAAGCACATGCGCAAGGCGGTTTCGACCGTTCTGGCTGTCTGAGGCTTTTTCCTGTTCGTGGAGATAGATTGCCCGGGTGCGCCTTGTGCCTCTAGGTGTGAGAGATATCCGGAGTATCAGCACTTCTTGAATTGCAGAGGCGAAAGCCAGTTCGGCCCTTCAACAGTTTTCCAGGCCAAAGATTCTCGATGGGAGCGTACGACCCCTGGTGCTTGCCAAGCAGCTGCAACATGTGACATGTGTGCAGCACTGGACATTGAGCAAAGGTCTGTGATCTGCGACCCAGAAAAGGTCGCCTGAGTATCAGACGCCTTCGTGAAGACGTCTTGTTGCATGGCTCCTTCAGGCTGCCTTGCCTCGACGAGCGGCTGGAACTTGGCACTGGATGGGTTTCGCAAAGCTCTCAGTCCAGCAGCGGAGGAGCTCATGCGGCTTTGCATGCTTCCTCTTCTGGCTCCGTTGCTTTTCTGCTTCCTGTCCTGTTTCGACATCTGTCTTGATTGGCAAGTTGTCCAGGCATCAACTTATTTCTTTGTCAACCCTCACGAAGAGTTGGCGGCCTGTTTCCTCACACAGCTCATCTCTCACAGGAGCTATGCAATGCATAGTTGTCGTAAGCTTGGTGCGCGCGTGTCGCTGTTGCGAGGACATACCCCATACTGGACCAACTGGTCAAAGGAGTGCATGGTGCATTGTTGTGACAAAAGTGCTCACCTCAAACTGCACTGTTCGTCTCGCAGGCAAGCCAGCAGAGGATTGGCAAGGGGGGCGATGATGGAAAAGTAAACATGAAGGGAGCCACGAACCGAATGCAGACACATGACACGTACATGGCAAAGACAATAACACCCAACGCGCGACACCAATCA